CCTGCCAATATACTGAAAGTGTTGATCAGTTCTAGGAGTTTTCTGGTAGGAATTTTGGGATCTCTTAGGTATAGTATAATATCATCTGCAAAGAGTGATAGTTTGACCTCTTCTTTTCCAATTAGTACTCCTTTAATTTCCTTCTCCTGTCTTATTGCTCTAGCAAGAATTTCAGGCACTGTGTGGAAGAGGAGTGGAGACAGTGGACATCCTTGTCTCGTTCCTCATTTTAATGGGAATGCTTCCTGTTTTTCTCCATTTAGAATGATGTTGGCTGTGGGTTTGTTGTATATAACTTTAATTATGTTGAGGTGTGTTCCCTCCAGTCCAAGTCCCTCTAAGACTTTGAACATAAATGCATGCTCAATTTTGTCAAAGTCTTTTCTGCATCTATTGAGATAACAATGTGGCTTTTGTCTTTGAGTCCATTTATATGATTAATGACATTTATTGACTTGGGTATATTGAACCATCCCTGCATCTCTGGAATAAAGCCTACTTGGTCATGGTGAATGATCTTTTTGATGTACATCTGTATGTGGTTTGCAAGGGAATGCTTGGATATATTGAACCATCCCTGCATCTCTGGAATAAAGCCTACTTGATCATGGTGAATGATCTTTTTGATGTACATCTGTATGCGGTTTGCAAGTATTTTGTTGAGAATATTTGCATCTGTGTTCATTAAGGATATGGTTCTCTAGTTTTTCGTTTTTGGTTGTATCTTTACCTGTTTGGGGATTTAGAGTGGTGCTGACTTCATAGAAGGAATTTAGGAGTTCTCCCTCTGTTTCTATTGTTTTGAATAATTTAAGTAGTATTGGTTGGAAGTCTTCTTTAAATGTGAATTCTGCTGTAAATCAATCTGGGGCTGGGCTTTTTTTAATTGGGAAGCTTTGTATTACTGTTTCAGTTTCCTTATATGTTATGGGTCTGTTTAAACTGTTGATCTTTTCTTGGCTTAACTTTGGTGGTTCCCATGATTTTAGATATCCATCAATTTCTTTTAGCTTTTCAAATTTAGTAGTGTATCGGTTTTTTTTAATTGAATGAGTTTTTAATATTTTATTTATTATTTTTATTTTATATGTATGCATGTATTGCCTGCATGTAGGTAAGTGCACCAATGTCGTGCAGTGCCCACAGAGAACAGAGGAGGCTGTCGGATCCCCTGGAACTGGAGTTATGGACAGTTGTTAGCTGTCATGTGGGTGCTGGGATTCGAACCTGAATCTTCTGCAAGAGCAGTCAGTGTTCTTAACCACTAAGCCATCTCTCCAGCCCCATGTATAGGTTTTTTAAATATTCCCTTATAATGTTCTGGATCGTTTGTGTGTCTGTTGTGATGTTTCCCCTTTCATCTCTTGATTTTGTTGATTTGGATTTGTTCTTTTTTTTTTTTTTTTTCCTTTTTTAATGCTCTTTCTTTTGGTTAACTGGGCTAAGGGTCTGTCTATCTTGTTTAGTTTTTCAAAGAATGTGGTCTTAGATTCATTGATTCTTTGTATTGTTTTCCTTGTTTCTATTTCATTAATTTCTGCTCTGATTTTTGTTATTTCTTCTCTTCTGCTGGATTTGGGTTTCATTTGCTCTTCCCTTTCCAGCATCTTGAGTTGCAGTGTTAGGTCATTTACTTGAGCTCTTTCTAATTTTTTAATGTAGGCACTTAGAGCTATAAACTTACCTCTTAGGACTGCTTTTAAAGTTTCCCAGAAGTTGTGTTTTGTTGTATTGTCCTTTTCATTGAATTCCAGGGATTCTTTTATTTCTCTCTTATTCTCCTTTGACCCACTCATTGTTTAGGAGCGTATCGTTCATTCGCCATGAGTTCATGTAGTGACTAGGGCTTTGTCCAGTGTTGATTTTGAGCTTTATTGCATTGTGGTCCGATATAATGAATGGAATTATTTCAGGTTTTTTTTGTGTGTGTTTGCTGAGGTTTGTTTTGTGGCCCAGTATGTGGTCAGTTTTGAAGAAGTTCTGTGGGGTGCTGAATAGAAAGTGTATTCTTTGGTGCTCGGGTTGAATATTCAAAAGATGTCTGTTAGGTCCATTTGAAGTATGATATCATTTAATTCAGACATTTCTGTTTATTCTTTGTCCAGTTGACCTGTCTAATAGAGACAGTGGGATATTGAAGTCCCCTACTATTACTGAGTTGGGGTTAATCTGTGTCTTAAAGTGCTATAGTGTTGTTTTATGCATTTGGGTGCACCAGAGTTTGGTGCATATATGTTAAGAATTGTAATGTCTTCTTGGTTAATTATTCCTATGTTCAGAATGAAGTGACCCTCCTTATCTTTTCTAATTAGTTTTACTCTGAAGTCTGTTTTGTCAAATATTAGAATTGCAACCTCTGCTTGTTTCTTAGTGCCATTTGCTTGGAATATTCTTTTCCATCCTTTTAATTTAAGGTAGTACCTGCCCTTGAAGGTGAGATGGGCTTCTTGCAGACAGCAAACGGATGAATTTTGTTTCTTAATCCATTCACTTAGCCTGTGTCTTTTGACTAGGGGGTTCAGTCCATTGATATTTAAGCTTATTATTGAAAGGTGTGTATTGGTTGCCATCATTTTGATTGCTGTTTGTGTTCTCTGTCTAATTTTGTGTTTCCTAGATTATACCTTTATTTTCTTTTGTTGTCCCTGGGGTATAGTTGTTTCTCTCTCTGCTCTCTATATTGCTTCAAGTATTCTTTGAAGGGCTGGTTTCATGGACATATATTCTTTCTGGCTATTCGTGTCATGGAAGAGTTTTCTTTCCCCCGCAACTATAATAGACATTTTTGCTTGGTAAAAGTATTCTGGGCTGGCATCTATTGTCATTAAGAACTGGAAATATGGCACTCTCTGTCTTGCTTCAAGTATTCTTTGAAGGGCTGCTTTTGTGGACATGTATTCTTTCAGGCTATTCATGTCATGGAAGATTTTTCTTTCCCCTTCAACTATAATAGACATTTTTGCTGGGTAAAGTATTCTGGGCTGGCATCTATTGTCATGTAGAACTGGAAATACCTTGGTCCAAGCTCTTCTGGCTTTCATAGTTTACATTGATAAGTCAGCTGTAATTCTGATGGGCTTTCCTTTGTATATGACTTACTGTTTTATTTTGCTGCTTTCAGTATTCTCTCTTTGTTCTATACATTTAGTGTTTTTACTATGATATGTTATGGGGAGTTTCTTTTGTGGTCCTGTCTATTTTGTGTTCTATGTGCTTCCTATATTGGTATGGGGATGTCTCTCCTTAATTTCTGGAAATTCTCTTCTACAATCTTGTTTAAGATCTGGTCAATACCATTAACCTGAAATTCTTTTCTTTCCTCTATTCCTATGATCTGTAGATTTGATCTTTTCATGGTGTCCCACATCTCTTGCATATTCCATTCCTGTGTTTTTTTTAATTTTCCATAATCTTTGCTTGAGTGGTCCAATTCTTCAACTTTATCCTCCAGTGTTGATAATTCTGTTTTCCATGCCATTCATTCTAGCAGTGAGGCTTTCCCCTGTTGTTTCAAGTTGGCTTACTGAGTTTTGTACTTCCTTCTTCATTTCTGCCTGTTTTCCTCAATGTTTCTATCTCTTTTGTGAATTCCTTCAGAAGCTTATTCCTATCTTCTTTTAGTTCTTTCATTTGTTTGTTCATGTGTTCTTTAAATTCATTGAATGATCATGTCTATGATTGTTCTTTTTACTTCTGTGTCCTGGCTTATTGCTAAGGGGTTCTTGTGGTAGAACTCTTCTATGGGACCGTTGGTGTTTGGTGGGGACATATTATTTGGGTTTTCATATCATTATTCTTTTGTTGTGATTTTAGCATGTGGATTTCTTTTGTTTGTGATTCTGGTGGAGACTCAAGCCTTCCTTTGTTGAAGTGAAGTCTGTTTTTCTTTGTATACTTGATGTGCCTTGGTTGGTTTCTACAGGTTTCAGGTTCTCTCAGGTTTTATTTTGGAGGGAACTGGTGGCTTCAGATCAGCTATTCAAGAGCACCCACAGAAGCCCAAGTCAGGTTCCAGTCAGATACACTCAGGCTTCCTTCTAAGATTTGGACCCCACCACATGGAGGCACAATCCAGGCACTGTCAGGCAGTACCCTGAGTTCTCAGTCCCTATGCCAGAGGGAGGCCAGAACCCAGCACTCTCTGGTGGTCTGCTGAGATCACAGCCGCTATACCGATGGAGGAGCAAGCATGTGTTTTTGTTCATATGAGACTGAGACTTGCTTTCCTTTCCAGAAATGCCAGCCAGTCTGTCTTTGTGTTTCGTTGGCTCACATGGTTTAGATCTGCCCAACACTGAATTAGTCTGTCATGACGCAAGCAGAATAAGTGCTATAGACTAACAATGTAATAGAAAGGATATTATATGATCTGTCAGAGTATCTGCATTTAGCTTTTAAAAACTACATTTTCATTCAGGTATTCTAATGCACAGAAATCCTTTTAACAGTTCATTTAATGTGTTGAAATATTGAATCCAAAACAATCTGTGAGAAGTGTTGTTTCTTTCATAGGACAAACAACATATTCTGTGGCCTAAAAGAGCAGATTGCACAGAAAGCTATCCCAGAGTCCCACTTGGTGGGGAATTGCCAACATACTTTCTGCCTCCAGAGAACAAAGGACTCAGGCAAGTGCTGATGGATTTGGCAAAGCACCTGATTCTGCATGATTATCATCGGGCAGTTCTTTGAGAGCACCAGCCTTGGACTTGAAAGGTTAAGTCTTTATCTTGAACTCACCCAAATTTTGAAAATATGAATCTTGTTCCTTTTTCTTGTGCCAGGATCCACGAACTCACCAGTGATGATTATTCTTCAGAAGAGGAGACCCAAACCCCTGACTGCTCCATAACTGACTTCAGAAAAAGCCACACTCTGTCCTACTTAGTCAAAGAATTAGAGGTCCGCATGGATCTGAAAGCCAAAATACCAGATGACCATGCACGCAAAGTAAGACTCACTTAGGCTGGTGTTTGTTGCCGTCCATTCTAGGTGACTTCAAAAGCCTCTTAGATGGAACAGAAATTGGAAGGAAGGCACTTAGTTTTAAGTCTGTAAAACTAAAGGATAGAATTAAGAACTGCTGCAGTGATTGAGAACATCAGTCACGCTTTTATTAGTAGAGTGCCAGGAAATGTTCCTTGGGCTGCAGGTCACACAGTCCACCGGAGGGCTATCTGTTCCTCTACCTCAAAGAGTTCTGAAGACAGGAACACAGAACTCTGTAACTCATGGAGCAGTTTGATGGAGGTCATCTGCCTACCTCAGTTTAGCGTTGTATCTTCTGAGCATCCACAAGTTTATGTAAATGAAAAGCTTAAAAGTTCTCTTTCCAATGGCCTTATCAACCCTGCTTTGACCCTATGTGAGGTCCTTAGAAATCCGTATTACTTTGATAGCCACTTGGCAAAATTATGAATAAATTCTGTTAATGCTATTTTCTTTAGTTCCTATTAGCTGTGTATGACTAAGAATGTTTTATCACTTCATGTAGATTACTATGTTGGATTGCTAGATTGTAAATGTTCTAGAGGTGTATATTCCATATATCTATAGATTACTGTATTGTAGCAAATGTAACAATTCCATAAATACAAATGAAATCATTACTTTTTTATAGGAAAGCTCATCACAACTAGTTTTTTTTTTAACTGTGTTTAGTTGCGACTTAGTCAATTCATATTTATTGAAGCAGAAAAAAATTTACCAGGTGGTGTTGTGGGTACTTAGAATACAAAATAATTAAGGCATGACCTTTGCTTCAGAGTTGGTCACAATTACATGAATTCTGTGAGAAAATAAAGTAGCTTAATTGGGGATCCAGTGCTCTCCAGCTAGGGAAGATAGCAATTTTTCAGCATATTAAATATTGCATATCATTGATTCTGAATAATTTCTCATTAGGTGCTAGACACAATAGGTTGCCTTTAATGGAATATGGTAAGTTACTGGGGGGAGAAGAAAACCTTTTAAATTTTTTTAGTTGAAGGACACTAGTGCATATACATTAGGAAGTCAGTACCTGTTGTTATGTTAATGAACGCATGTTGTCTATATGATTATAAATATACTTCAGTGGATTAAATGTTTACTATATAAGCACAAGGACCTGAGTTTGACTCCCCATCACCCATGTAAAAAACTGGACGGGATGGAGCGTATTTATAACCCTGTTGCTAGGAATTGGTTGGGCCAGGAAGATCCTTGGAGCTTGCTGGCCAGATAGTCAGCCAATCAGTGAGCTCCAGGTTCAGTGAGAGACTGTCTCTAAGACTAGGTGGAGAATATGAGAGGAAGACACTCGACATCAGCCTCTGACCTCCACATGCCCCCCACATGTGTACACAAAAGAACATGTACACACACAAAAAATATACAAAAGGAAAAAAATTGGGGGCTGGAGAAATGGCTTAGTTGTTAAAAGCACTGACTGCTTTTACAGAGGACCTGGGTTTGATTCCCGGCACCCACATGGCAGCTAACAACTGTCTGTAACCCTAGTTCTAGGGGAGCTAACCCCCTCTTCTGACCTCCCTAGGCATTGTACAACATAGGTGCACTTACATATGTGCAGGCACTCATATTCATAAAAATAATAGAGAAGCCGGGTGTGGTGGCACACGCCTTTCATCGCAGGACTCAGGAGGCAGAGGAAGGCTGATCTCTGTGAGTTCAAGGCCAGCCTAGTACATAGTGAGTTCCAGGACAGCTGGGGCTACAGGGAGACCCGTCTCAAAAAGACCAAAAAAAATAAATAAATAAATAATAATAATAATAAACTTTTTTTTAAAAGACAAAAGGGAAAAAAGTAGCTGCTTTTCAAATGTCTTTTGTATTATTTTCAATTGAGTCAGTCTTCCTTTTGATATTTTCAGATTTTGCTTTCCCGTATTAAAAACTATACCGTTCCAGAAGAAGAAATCGGGTCTTTCTTATTTCATGCAATTAACAAGGTAAGTCATTTATTTGGGGCATCTAAAACTTTAGTGCTTACTAACTGGAATGCAAATTTAAATGTACTTGTTAAAGATCCTATTTAGAGCAAGTACTGTATTTTTAACTAACTGAAATCTTTTGACATTTTCAGCCAAATGCCCCTGTCTGGCTCATTCTCAATGAAGCTGGACTGTACTGGAGAGCAGTGGGAAACAGCACTTTTGCCATCGCCTGTCTTCAGAGGGCCTTGAATTTGGCTCCACTTCAGTATCAGGACATTCCTCTTGTCAACCTAGCTAATCTTCTGATTCACTATGGCCTTCATCTTGATGCTACTAAGCTGCTTCTGCAAGCCCTGTCAGTCAACAGCTCCGAGGTGAGGTTTTGTTTATTTATGTCTGTATAGTTCCATATGCTATGTAAAGTAACTCAGTTTTAAAGTACAGTTTCTATTTTTCTGGGAAGGGTATAAAAAAATGCCATGTTTGTTTTTCAGAATAGAGTTTTCATATTTCAAGAAAAAACATAAATGTATTTTATTTTGATCATTTATTTATTTTGAGACAGGATCTGGCTATGTGGCCAAAATTTGCCTCGGTTCACAATTCTCTGCCTCGAACATCTGAGCCAGAACTACAGGCATATACCACCGTGCTAGCCCTTTTTAAATTTTAAATGAGTAAAAGTTACAGTTACCCAGTTAGCTTTTTATAAATTTATATATAAATAAAAATGGCATAATTATACAAATATACTGAGATCAAGGCCAGTTTAGTCTACACAGTGAGTTCCAGGCAGTTAGAGCTACATAGGGAGACCCTGTCTCAAAGTAAAAAACAAAAAGTGACTCTCTTCTGTTTCTGTCTCTGTCTCTCTCTGTTTCTCTCTGTGTTTCTCTCTCTCTCTCTCTCTCTCTCTCTCTCTCTCTCTCTCTCTCTCTCTCCCTCTCTCTTCCACAAACACACACACACAAAATTAGTGTTGTTTTATTTTTATTTTTTGAGACAGGGTCTCCCTTTGTAGCCTTGGCCTGAAACTCCCTATGTAGACCAGGTTGGGCTCAAACTCACAGAGATCCACTTGCCTCTGCCTCCGGAGTGCTGAGATTAAAGGCGTGCTTCACACTTTACTGTCACTTTTTTTGTCAGTCTGAAACACTTGGCTCTTATTTTATCCTACTCAACACTGAGTTCACATTGCTTAGTATTATACTGTTTTTTCAGATTTAGTATTTATTTTTAGATATAATTACACCATCCAAGCCAAAGCATAGTTAACAGTTGTTCTGATAACTAATGCGCAGGGCACTAGAACTAGAACTCAGTGGTAGAGCACTTACTCAGCATGCATGGCACCCAGTTCAGCGCTGGGATGACAGACATGCACTGCCATGCCCATCAGTGCTTCTTAGTCTTATTTTTTAGTTTTAAGGTACCACTTCTCTTTTTTGTCTTATTTTAGCATCTGTGAACTCACAGTTGATCCTATTATTTTGTTACATTAAGTTTGATGCAATGCAGTTACGGTAAATATACAATTAAATTGGTCTTACCTAATACCCAAGTATTTATATATAAATGTTTTCTATCCAAGAAATCCTTTAGGTGATGTGGCTGTGAATAACTTAGGTTTATTTAAAGTATCCCAAAACTAATTTTTTTTAGGGGGGGGGGACTTTTTGATACATGGTCTCCCTGTAGCCCCAGCTGGCCTGGAGCTCACTATGTAGACCCAGCTGGCCTTGAACTCACAGAGATCTACCTGCCTCTGCCTCCCAAGTGCTGGATTTAAAGGTGTGCACCACCACGCCCAACCCAAAACTAATTTTTTAAGTATAAAAGAATATGGCCTGTCAAGAGTTCCCTTTGGAATACACAAATTTACAACTGGATTTTAAGTATAAGTTTATAATCTCTATACTGTCTAACAAGTCAGGTTGCTAAGAAGTACATAAAATATTTACACAGTGCTTGCTCTGTACCAGATTCTGGTACAGTGAGAACATACGCTATCCATGCAGTATGGGAGGTGCTTGGTAGACATCCCCATGGAGAGCTTGTACTGTCATATTCCCATGAATGCAGTGTGGGGTTTGCTAGGTAGGCATCCCCATGGAGGACTCATGCTGCTATATTCCCGTGAGCGCAGTGTGGGAGGTGCTGGGTAGATATCCCCATGGAGGGCTGGTACTGCCATATTCCCATGGCACTTATGGATCACTTTCTGTTACTGCCAACTAAGGCAGTTACGTAGTGTTTTTCTGAAGAAGAAAAAAACAGACCTCCCTTAGAGATACTTACCTTTCCATATTTTAAAATTATATTTAAATTTTAGTTGCTAAATGTTGCAGTACTTCTATAAGATAAAAAATGAGAAGTTGGTGAGTCAAGACAAGTAAACCAAAAATATACCTTAACCAGCACCTTTCCCTGGCTGTCAACATTTGGAAATACTGACTTGTAACTGTGACTTCTATGTAAATATTTCACTGTTGCCAGCTGTAGACATGATCCTTAAAGCTTATTAAAGCAATTAATTTAAATGCTTGTGTAGTCAGTAGATTGGCATGCTACAGACTTATCAGGTTGCTGATGGTGCTTAGTAACTATTGTTAAAGATGGTTTCTACAAAGGCCTTTTTTATAAAAAATTCCAGGTAATTATCTTAGTAGTGGAATTAATAAGTCAATGAAAAAAATAATATTTTGATAACTCTGACAGAAAGTGCCACACATTCCATCAAAAAGTTTGGGTCAATACATATTACCACAACCAAGAGCTCAAATCTTTATCTTACCGATACTTTCACCTGAATTGGACAATTAATTAGTTTTCTTTATTTTTTTTTTTTTACTAGAGCAGGGCACTATCTAAGTACCTTGCATTAGTCAGCAGAACAGCCTTAGGAGATAGAATTTCTCCTTTGATAGATGAGGAAACTCAGAGTTAAATATACAGAAGGATTATGAGATTTACCAAAACTTACCAAGCTTGAATTTGAACTTAGGGACACTGACCACGGAGTTCTCACACCTCAGTGAGGGTATTCTGCCTCTGAACTAACATTTATAAAACTAATTTGCTTATTTTAAAATATCCATTTGTGTTTTCAATTTTTTTTTTTCTTTTTACAGTTTTCTAAGACAGTCTCACTGTGTCGTTTAGACTATCCTCGAGCTCATAATGATCTTCCTGCCCCCAGCCTCTCAAGTATTGGGATTATAGGCATGTACCACCTTGTCCAGTTTAAAACCATGAATGAATTTTAGATTAAGTAAAAGAAGCTATAAAAGAATGCATTTTTATAGTAACATGTAAGGGAACATGGTATTTGATTCCATTCATATGACCTTCAAAAAAGGAAAAGTTAACTTCTAGGGATACAAGTCAGTATATCAACAGTGGTTTCTTTTGAGATGGGGTCAGGAACCCATGGGATACTGGAAATATGCAAAATGTCTTTTATATTGGGTTGAGTAGCAGCTGCCAGGATATCCCACATGTAGTAACTCATTGAACTACATATTTAAGACATGGCATATATATAACAAACACTTTAAATGTTTGTTAATCTTTGTAAAAAGGCTTAAAAGTACATTTATGTTTGTTGTATAGTTTAGAATTGTCTTGTGTGAATAAAATGAATAAGTTAGGAATGACCTTTATGGGGCCAACCTAAGAAAAGCCCAAAGAAATATATTGTAAAGGTTTTCTAACTCTCAAAAAATAGTAATTCGGTTGGGCATGGTGGCACACACCTTTAATCCCAGCGCTCAGGAGGCAGAGGCAGGTGGATCTCTGTGAGTTCAAGGCTAGCCTGATCTACATAGTGAGTTCCAGGATGGCTACAGGGAGACCCTGTCTCAAAAAGACCAAAAAATAGTAATTCATTTACATTTTGCTGATTCTTTTTTTTTTTTTTTTCCCCCTTTTCTTTCTAGCCCCTGACCTTTTTGAGCCTGGGAAATGCTTACCTTGCTCTGAAGAATATCAGTGGGGCACTGGAAGCCTTTAGACAGGCTTTGAGATTAACTACCAAATGCCCGGAATGTGAAAGCAGCCTGAAGCTGATCCGCTGCATGCAGTTTTACCCTTTTCTGTACAACCTCAGCTCTTCTGTTTGCAGTGGTAAGCATCTGTTTAGTGCTGGAGAAATCATGAGCTCAGCCAGTGTTGCTGTTCTGATAACAGAACACAGAAGATGATTTTATGAACTTTCTCCGTGGCTTTTAGAAAGCTAATAAAATTCTAGATATATAGCAAATAAGTTAATTCATTACTTACTTTCAATGCCTTTGGAATTATGGCTTAATTCTGTCCCAGTTAAGAAACACTGAGTAAAGTATATAGTGTATTCATCTGGAACTGAGAGGTTGTTTTTCCTGCCCCTCACATTTCTGTTTAATAATGACTGGTATTCATGGTAAAGGATTGCTCTTCCATTTCTAAAGTCATACATGACACGAGAGCAGTTGTTCTCCATGCTGAGTCCCTGGAAAATTTTGGTCCTTTGCCTTTCAGTGAAAATGATTCAGCTTTGCTGAACCTTTAAAATGGTTCCCTGATAATAAGTGATATTCTTTCCCTTCTACATGTATCTACCTCCAGAGAGCTAATATTGAAACCTATGGCAGAATAATCAACTAGAACACACTTTCTACAGGAATGTTTTCTGTTAACCTTTAATATAAGAAAAAAAAATCATATATTTTGCATTCCGCCCTTAAACTATGATAGGTACAGTTCACATCTATGTGTCTCTTCGCCTACCCATTACTAGGTAGAGCAACAATGGGCACTCCATGTATATTCAAACTGGAGTGTAATGTTTAGGCAGCAGGCTAGCATTCTAGCTCCTTCCACATCTGACATCCAGTTATTTCTGTGACTTGTCTAAAAGACTCCCTCAGTATTTTAATGGGATCAGGAGTAAATAGTATTTGCATTGTTAAATTTCAGAGTCCAGAAGTCTCTCAGCAGCATAATGTCATAGCTCAGCTGCACATCCATGTTGGGCATAATCTGAACTAGAGTTCTCATATGAACTGGAGACCCAAGGTAGTATTTAGTGAGGCCATAGTCACATGGCTGGCACCAGGGTTATACAGATCCTGACTGAGCCCCAGCTCTGCTGTAACTTTTTGGTCCAGGAGAATAGCAGATGCTGTCAGTTACCTGAGGTGAGCCTTGAGAGCAGGCTCTCACTCTTCTTTTTATTATATTTTTCTTTTTTTTAAATTTTTTTGAGACAGGGTCTCCCTGTAGCCCCAGCTGGCCTAGAACTCGCTATATAGACCAGGCTGTCTTTGTTCTCAGAGATCGTCCTGCTTCTGCCTCCTGAGTACCAGGACTAAAGGCATGCACCTCCACACCTGGCATGATTTCACTCTTCTAAATGTGTTTTTTTTTAATCAATAGAAATTCGTATGTACTTGCTGCTATCGCCTTTCTCGTCTCTTAAAAATTCAGTTACTGGGGAAAAAGGATTTATGTGTGTGTGTGGTGACCGTCTTCTAAACATTCTTGTTCTTAGCATTAGCTTCATATATTTGTGTTTAGTTTTTCACTTTCTGGCACTTTATTATGTCAGTCAGGTCAACAAAGTAACATGAGTTGTGTTGAACTTTTTCCCTAGAGCTTTCCCTTTAACTAATTCAAGAAACTAGTCACTTAAAACAGATCTTTTACTCGTAGTACCTGATAGTCTAGATTATCTTCCTGTTATTATTGGATCTAGTATAGCTATGAAAGAAAATACTTTAGCTTGGAAAAATGGACCACTATTTTTGTTCTTTCAGGGAGAACCTATCAGCAATAATTAGTCAAGGTTTAACCCTTTTACCATTTAAGTAACTAGTTAAATAGTTTATTAAGTCTTTGCTCAAATTTGCTCAGTTCACCAGAATGTTATTACTGTGGGTAGATCTAAAATCATTCTGGTGTGACTTAGAAAAGAATCTAGCACCTAATAAATAGTCCTATTTCAGTAGAACCACTCCAGCATCTCCTAGGCTTGAAAACTCACTGATAGCACTAAGCCAGTTTTAGTAGACTGGCTAAGATCAAGAGAACAAATGATACCAAATGTTGGCGAGGATGTGGAAAAAGGGGTATGCTCATTCACTGCTGGTGGGATTGCAGACTTGTACAAACCGCTATGGAAAGCAGTGTGGCAAATGCTTTAAAAACGAAAAACAAATCTACCATATGATCCGGTTATACCACTCCTTGGCATACACCCAAAGGACTGATCCTACAGTTTTAGTATTAAGATTTGAAAAGCTGAAACATGAAACATGACACCTCAGTAGAAACTATGAACTTCTTACATTGCAAATGTTAACATGTGAAAGTGAAACTTTTACATAAGTCATCTCAGCTTTAAATGATAGATGAAAAAACTCAAAGCCCCTGACTAATGATTAACAGAATGCACATGATTCTGCTGTTTTTTCATTTCTGAAGTGTTAAGATCAGCCTCAGAAGTTACTTTGTCTCCACTTAGGGTTTGTTATTATAATACAGCACTCCAAGAAATTGGCACAGCTTGTGATACTATTACATTTATTTTTATATTGAGTGTTGTGTGTGTTTATGTGTATGTTTTCGGGGATTCATGTGCCATGGCATGCTGTGTGTAGGTCAGAGGACGACTTGCAGGAGTCAGTTCTCTCCTTCCACCATATGGGCCCAAAGGATTGAACTCATGTCATCAGACTTGGTGGCAAGTGCCTTTACTACTGAGCCATCTCACTGGCCCAATGTTTTAGGGGTATGTGTGTGTATGTGTGTGTTATGTTTTGTTTATTGGGTTTTTTGAGACCAGGCCTCACTGCCTAACCTAGGCTGGACTCCAGCTTCCTACACACTCTCAAGTTTGGCCCAAATTTGTAATCCTTCTGCTTCAGCCTCCTGGGCTGAAATTGTGTGCACTGCGTGCCCAGCTCTTATCATTGTTTCCTACTGTACAAGGATCTAAGGTAGCTGTCTGTCACTCCTTTACCATCATGTGTTAAGTCTTTTATCAGTCCATTTTAAAAGTTTCAAAATTGAAAGTTTTTTCAAATAAGCATTTTAAGACTAAAGCATGGAAATTTTATTTATTTATTTATTTATTTATTTATTTTATGTGTATGAGTGCATTGCCTGCATATATGTAAGTGCATCTGTGTCATGCAATGCCTAAGGTTAGAAGAGGGCATCAGATCCTCTGGAACTGTAGTTACAAATGGTTTGGAATCAAACTTGGGTCTTCTGCAAGAGCAGCCAGTGCTCTTAACTGCTGAGCCATCTCCAACCCTCATGGAAAATTTTTTAAAAATAATTTTTTTGACCAGTGTTATTTTCCCACAAATTATTTGAATACTCAAGTTTAATAAACATTTATAATGCAGTTTTAATGAAATATGAGCTCATTGGTCAAATTGTGGGCAGTATATTAAGAGCAAGAAGTGTTTTGCTGTTTTTCATATTTAAAGAAGATTTTATGCAGATTTTCAGTTTTTGTTTTTTTTTTAAATACAGAATCTATAAACATACATAATTGAATTATTTTATTCAATGCAGTGTGAACCAGATTGTCTATAGAATCCAATAGTCAGAAGTAAAATGAACTAATGAATATTATTTAGCATCCTGAGGACTGCAGGAAGCATCTTATGCTTTTTGTGAATTGTATGGATCAAAGTTAAGTTCATGAACTTTTTCCATTAAGTTTTAGATAATCAGGTATAGGAATAACCTAAGCACTTTTTAAAAAAAATAATAACTAGGTACATAATCCTAAATGAAAGAGTTAGGAGACTAAATAACATACAATTTTTTCTTGTCTCAAAGATCTACAGAAATTATTTGAACTATGTGCATATTAGGAACCTATAACAAGTGATACAACATTGCGCAGGAGAAAATTTCCTTCCAGTTTTGAAGGACTAGAGAAGGGAGGCGAAGGGTTTGATTAATATTTGTATTAAGTTGGGAAGGTTAACAGTGTATTTGGGGGAGTGAAGTTGGAAAGAAGAGCTCTGTCTCAGCCTGGGTGAGGCTCAGTCTCTTGACAGCAGTCTGGAGACTTTATAATATGAAACCATTGACTGAGCTCACAGGGAAGGTCTTCCCAGGGTCAAGTGGGCTCTGCTCCTGTATTTTAAGACTCAAGGATGAATAAGAAAGACTCTGGCAGTATAAATAAATTATTCCACCAGAACATGATTCCTATGCACCTCTATGATAACATTTATTATATTGTGTTGAAATTTTCTACATACGTGTCTGTCTCTTTAACTAGGAAAAACATTCTGTCAAACCCTTTTTTCTATCCATAGCAACTAGCATAGATTTTGGCTCAGAAAAGGCATTCAATAGATACCCTATATAAATAATTGAACCAGAAATAAAATAATAGAAATCAAGTTATAACCTTGTCGTAAGAGTTCTGTAAGTTAGAAACATGGAGTTTGTTCTGGTTCTTTCTCTCTTGTCTCAACTCCACAGGAACCTGCCACCATTCAGAATCCAATCCTCTGGGTCTCTCTCTTGTCCTGCATTGCAGTTGCCTTACAGAGTTACTGATCGTGTTTGTCCTGGGCTGATGTATTAGTCTAAGCTGTCTAGTTCCCTTCTCTATTTCTTGCCCACCTCCAAGCCATTCACTACACTGCTGTTAGTGTGATGTTTCTGAAGAGAAAATCTGCTTGTGTTAGTTCACTGCTTCAAAACCTTTATGATCTCTGTTCTGTCTACAAGATGAAATCTAAATTACCCCGAATAACATTTGATGCCATCCCTAATCTGATGTATAGTTACTGTCATCTTCATTTCCCACACATCTCCCTTTGATGAAAGTTGATCTGCTATTCTTGCTGCTACTGTTGTTAATTTGCACATTTTTAAACACCCTAGTCTCCTGATTATGAATCTAGTCTGCTTCCTCTCAGTCCTATCTACAATATTACCAGAAAAGGCCTATATATCCT